AAATAATTTGCTGGCCTAGCAGTAATTGCATCAACAAGCTTTTCATAGATAGTGGGTAGAGCACCTTATAAGAAAGTGTGATTATTTATGATATATGATATTGACAAGGAAAAAGTTAAAAATGAAAATGGTAAAATTGAAAAATGAAACTGGTGATTCTAAAAGTAGAGTAATAAAATTTATTTACCTGGCATTATAAATACTTTGCAATTTTTAAAAGTTAATTGCCTAACACTCATATAAGATAGGCACTACTGCATTTAGAAAATGAGGAAACAAAGTAATAGAGATATTCAGAACATTACCTGAAGTTTCTTAATTAATGCGCAGTGGAGCCTATATTTTCAAAATGAATTTTTTTTTTTTTTGGTTTCAAAGTCTATCACATATACTTAAGAAACATTTGATCAAAATTCACTTTTAAGATGTTCCCTTAGCACGTTATTTAGCCACCGAACTTAAAATGGAAGTAATTTATTTTCTAATTTAGCCATGTAGGAAAGAAAGGAGGAATGTGGCATTTGCACATATTAGAAATTTCTGTAAAAGTTATGTAAAGCCAGACTGAAAACCATTAGGACAATATAGATGACAAATAAAGCTTTTTAAATGCCTGAACATAAAATGATATTTAAGCACAATTTCTTTTCCAAGGACTGAAAAAGTAAAAAGAGATCTACAGGTAATATTGTTTTATAATGTGGAATAAGAAATGATGGCTAAAGGTCAAATAAGTCCTCGGGTGATTTATACTTTGTCTCAATAATTCCATCTAGTTAGCGCAAACCTTTATTAAGAATTTCTTACACTGAGAATTATAAATTAAAATGAACAAAATGTTGAAATGTAAGAATTCTTAGAAAAAGAAAAATATGTATAGAATTACAGGAAACTATTTTTTTAATTTCACTGTTGTAACCAGAAGTAATGAATTTGTCACTTAAAATTATAAATACCAGGGTATATAATTTGATCATTTTGCAAAGTGTACAGAGAGCCTCCTTTATACACCTTAACCGCTTTCTTCCCTCTCACAAACAAAAGACTGATTGTTCATTACCTATCCATTGATCTAATTTTAAAAACTTTTAGTTATCTATCCCCATTGGGCATGTGATAAAGTTTTCAGTTTGTGCTATAATGATATATTTTTAATAGAAAAGAAAAATTAGTTGAGGTCTCTTTGTCCCTTTCCATATCAGATCTTCTAAATGGAGGTAGATGAGTAAAAGGTGTAGGGCACATTTGAGATGCATTTTATAAGAAAACCACCTGGGGAATTTCCCAAACAAGACAAGTCCCAGACTCTAATCACATCATGGAAATAACATGCTTCAGTAACTTTGAAGCAAAACTACAGTGTAGGAGGCAGATATCTAGCTTACATTATTCCCCTCTTCCACTGACTAGGTGTGTGACACCAGTCATATCAGCTGACATCTCTGTGGCAAGTTTCTTCATTTGAAAGAAGGGGATGATAATAATAGAACCTCATGAAGTTTGTTTAAGGATTAAGGAGGTTAGGGGGCGGTGGCAAGCTGTATCAGCACTTTGGGAGGCGAGGGGGGATCAAGGTCAGGGATGAGACAAGGAAAGTCTATAAAATAAAAAATAGCGGGGGGGGGGGGTGTGTATGGGGGGGGGGGGGGGGGGGGGGGCGGAGGAGATGGCAGACTCAGCTGGAAGGTGAACTCGTCTAAAAAAAAAAAAAAAAAAAGGATTAAGGAGGTTAACATATATGTGTTGAATAGTAAACACCAGGGGATTATTACTTAATTATTACTGTCACTATGAAATAAAGCAAATTATGTTAGATAATGAGCAGCAAGTTGAAAATGTTCTTATGGCTATGGTCAAGAGAAACTGGATGCTGTTTGTTCTACTAGCTATGATACTGTTCTTAGATAAAGAAGGAAAAAAATATTAAGAGAAAATTATCTTCTAGAAAAAATTAAGCATCATGTTTATATCTTATCAATGGAAGAAACTGATTACAGACACAAATTTACTAGTTCTTCATGCTCTGTAATGGTCAGTGAATACTGGATTACAGCACTTATTATTCAGTCCCTATATCTGTACGATTCTTTGATTAAGGTGGTCACTTCCTGAAAGCAGAAGTTGTGTCAAAATTCTTTGAGTCTTAAATGTATACTAATACTTCACATACAGTGGTACTCAATATATGTTGAATGAATGAGGAATGAATTTATAAAAATAAACAAATGCATGGATTTGACAGCTTTCAAAGAAAGAATGGAATTCATATAGAGTAGGTTTAACATTTAAAATGAAATGTGAATTCTTTTCAGAAACATCTTTCTAAACTTAAATCTATTTCTTAGAAATGAAAATCTACAGGGGTGTGCCCAAGATGGCTGAATAGGAACAGCTCCTAGCGTGAGTGATACAGAAGACGGGTGATTTCAGCATTTTCAACTGAGGTACCGGGTTCATCTCACTGGGTCATGTCGGACAGTTGGCGCTGGTCCACGGGTGCAGCCCGACCAGCGAGAGCTGAAGCAGGGTGAGGCATCGCCTTACCTGGGAAGCCCAAGAGGGAAGGGAATTCCTTTCCCTAGCCAAAGGAAACTGAGACACACAACACCTGGAAAATCAGGTGACTGCCACCCTAATAGTGCACTTTACCAAGGGTCTTAGCAAAGGGCACACCAGGAGATTATATCCCACACCTGACCCAGAGGGTCAAACGCCCATGGAGCCTCCCTCATTGCTAGCACAGCAGTCTGAGATCTAACTGCAAGGCGACAGCAAGGCTGGGGGAGGGGCACCCGCCATTGCTGAGGCTTATGTAGGTAAACAAAGCTGCAGGGAAGTTCGAATTGGGTGGAGCCTACCACAGCTCAAGGAGGCTGGCCTGCGTCTGTAGAATCCTCCTCTGGGGACAGGTCATAAGTAAACAAAAAGCAGCAGAAACCTTGGCAGAGGTAAATGCCCCCGTCTGACAGCTTTGAAGAGAGCAGTGGATCTCCCAGCATGGAGGTTGAGATCTGAGAACAGACAGATTGTCTGCTCAAGTGGGTCTCTGACCCCTGAGTAGCCTAACTGGGGGACATCCCCTACTAGGTGCAGACCAACACCTCACATGGCGGGATACACTCCTGAGATGAAGCTTCCAGAGCAAGAATCAGACAGCAACAATCGCTGTTCAGCAATATTCTATCTTCTGCAGCCTCCGCTGCTGATACCCAGGCAAACAGGGTCTGGAGTGGACCTCAAGCAAACTCCAACAGACCTACAGCTGAAGGTCCTGACTGTTTGTTAGAAGGAAAACTAACAAAAAGAAAGGACACCCACACCAAAACCCCATCAGTACGTCACCATCATCAAAAACCAACAGCAGATAAAACCACAAAGATGGGGAAAAAGCAGTGCAGAAAAGCTGGAAATTCAAAAAATCAGAGCGCATCTCCCCTTCCAAAGGAACGCAGCAACAAAAGCCAAAATTGACAAATGGGATCTAATTAAACTAAAGAGCTTCTGCACAGCAAAAGAAACTACCATCAGAGTGAACAGGCAACCTACAGAATGGGAGAAAATTTTTGCAATCTACTCATCTGACAAAGGGCTAATATCCAGAACCTATAAAGAACTCAATCAAATTTACAAGAAAAAAACAACCCCATCAAAAAGTGGGCAAAGGATATGAACAGACACTTCTCAAAAGAAGACATTCATACAACCAACAGACACATGAAAAAAATGCTCATCATCACTCGCCATCAGAGAAAGGCAAATCAAAACCACAATGAGATACCATCTCACACCAGTTAGAATGGCAATCATTAAAAAATCAGGAAACAACAGGTGCTGGAGAAGATGTGGAGAAATAGGAACATTTTTACACTGTTGGTGGGACTGTAAACTAGTTCAACCATTGTGGAAAACAGTGTGGCGATTCCTCAAGGATCTAGAACTAGAAATACCATTCGACCCAGCCATCCCCTTACTGGGTATATACACGAAGGATTATAAGTCATGCTGCTATAAAGACACACGCACACATATGTTTATTGCGGCACTATTCACAATAGCAGAGACTTGGAATCAACCCAAATGTCCATCAGTGACAGACTGGATTAAGAAAATGTGGCACATATACACCATGGAATACTATGCAGCCATCAAAAAGGATGAATTTGTGTCCTTTGTAGGGACATGGATGCACCTGGAAACCATCATTCTCAGCAAACTATCACAAGAACAGAAAACCAAATACCACATGTTCTCACTCATAGGTGAGAATTGAACAATGAGATCACTTGGACACAGGAAGGGGAACATCACACACCGAGTCCTAATGTGGGGACGCGGCGGGGGAGGGATAGCAGTAGGAGATATACCTAATGTAAATGACGAGTTAATGGCTGCAGGACACCAACATGGCTCATGTATACATATGTAACAAACCTGCACGTTGTACACATGTACCATAGAACTTAAAGTATAATTAAAAAAAAAAAAAAGAAAATCTACTTCTTAGCAGCCTTTTCGATATGATTAGGTTCAAAGGACTGCACGGTTTTCTGTTTCTGCTTGACAGAAAATATTTAATTTTTCTTAAATGAGTGAAAGATTTATACTTGTATTACTTCTTGACTAATCATAATATCTTTTTAAGAAAAAAAAGTAGAAAGCCTACTTCATAGGACTTTTCATTTCTTTATATACACATATGGTTTTATTATTAGGAATTGTTTTTTAAAGATTTGTTTTAAATAAATTAAGATGAGGAAAATTTTTTTTTCTAAAATCTTGAAGGTATTTCAGAGTACATGTTGTATTGTCCATGCTTGTCTTCCAAAAATTAACTACATATAGCAAGATTGGCACATCTTTTGTGGGTATGGTATATTTTTAATCTAGGCATCACATTGATTTGAGCTATATAATTATTTTGAAATGTTAGTGCTTATACCCTATTTACTTGATTTTATATCTCAGAAATAATATGGTATGTGTATATAATTCCTTCTTACCCTATTCGAGTCAATTCTTGCTCTGGAAGTATAGATGGGAGGTGGGATGTTGAAAGCCTGAGGAACCAAGTACTCCTCAGCATCCATCATATCTTCCAAATCCTCTTCATCCAAGAGATTCTGAAAGAACTTGCTGTCATTTGGACTGGGAAGCTTCATACGATCATCACCCTAAAAGATTGCCCATCAGACACAAATATGATTCTTTCTTTCTTATCTTAAATATGTGGTCTCTGCAATAAATTTATGTAATATCATAACAAATGGTTGAAAAATTCATACACACATTAAAAAAAAAAGTCTTTAGCACAACCACCAGCCATCAAGAAACCTATAACATGCTTAGAAATGATAGGGCCAGGTAAACACACTTTATACAAGCAGTATATGATAAATACCATTAGAGAAAAATAAAGCAAAATCAAAAGATGATTTTAGGGAGGTAAAATCAATTTCAGGTCTGAAAATAATTGTTCATTGCCCAGATCGTGTACGGGTTGCAACTTTAAGAATAAACAATAAAATGTGATTGATTTATCAATGTTTATTTTATTTGGTTGGTTTGATGCTATAGGATTATCAGGACCATAGGGTCTATACTTTTTTCTATAGCATACTGGCTACATTTTCAAAGTAGTGACATTCAACACTCATAGTGCAAGTGGCAAATAGAGTAAAGGAGTATGAGAAAGACACCAAAACCTTTGTTATGCTTTTCTTCACCTCACCTTAAATATTTTTCCTATATTTTTAAAGTTACATAATTTTTGGAAACAGTTTCAGTTCATGAAAACTAATTTTGGGGAAAAAATTAATGGAAATACGTATCTTCTAAAACCTAGCTTTCATCTTTATGTCAGACTATTGATATGTAAATAAAGGCTACCTTCTTTTACTGAGGAAATATAATTCACTCTAGTCCAAGGCCCATTTGTTTATAGTTTAGGCGAAAATAATCATAGAGAAATATATTATTATTTTTAAGTTATCCAGTCTATTTTTCTAGTGTTAAATACAAAATATTCCTTTGACTGGTTGGTTGATTCAAATGTGCATCAATTCATTTGAATTGAGTTATTGTTTGGATACTGCCTATCCCTCCAAATAAAACAGAACATCTTTTAAAATATTTTTGGGTAAATTAAATATTAATATACTGAAACTTGATTCTCTGTCTTCAAGCATGGGCAAGATTAAAACAATAATCTGTCTTCCTTTTGTTCTGAGAAATGAAAATTATACTAATGAACATGACTTACACATAATGTTAATAAAATCAAGGTGCTAAAATAAGTGTCTGAGGATCAAGACCTTTTCATGTATATGTATAATCATAATTATCTGTTCAATAGCAGAGCCACTTGAATACTAAGGGAAGGTGCTAAAAGGTGGATCTGACATGAAGTAAAAAAGCTCTTTTCCATAAGTAAGTCATTTCACATGATAATCTACTTAATTAATCAGCATGTTAGTGGTCATTCCCACAGTTCCAAAGTCCCGATATTACTCATTTTACAGTGAGTTTGCCATCAGTCTAGTCTTAAACGCATAAGTCAAATGTACTAACCTGAATAACTAGGTATCTTTGAGGGTCTCGAGCCATCCTTGAAAACTCAGCAGCCAGTTCCTTAAATTTAGGTCTACTGTCAGCATCAATCATCCAACCTGGAAATTTACACAGTGAAAATGTCACTATATCCATAATTAAAAGGAGTTGAAATTTAAATTTTGTGAAAATATGAGCAAAAGTTTGAAAAATGTTGTTTTAACCATAACGATCTGAAAAAGAAAGAAAGCTAGTAAAAGACACAACTCAATTGATAAGGCTTTATCAGTCTCTTTGTTGATATTCGTAACTAAATGTAATGTATTGTCAGACAAAAGATAAATTTTTTTCTCTGATGGGTATAGATGAGGTGACTGCAATATAAGCTATTTTGTATTAGGAGTGACATGGGAGAAAAGATTTGGTCACAATGCTTACACTGGCACAAAGGGGAAAAGAGAAATTAAAAGCAAATGTCTTGTGCTACATTTGTCCTGGTGGACAAAAAAAAGAAAAACTAACGCAAAGTGATTGGTAATGCCTATTCAGCAATAGACATTAGCTTATCTTAGTACTAGCTTGTCTAGCATAAACATACTATCAGCAATTTTCAAGGTATGTATTATTATTTAGCTGGGAGTCTAAATAAAGTAGACCTTATCTCTACAGGCTCTGTTTAGCTAATGAGATGACAAGAATAAAAGTACCAAGCTTTCCTTGATTTTCTTGCCAAATTATCCTCTTGTTAGGTATTAAAACTCCAAAAGAAAGGTAAAATTCTCTATTAGAGAAAGTGTTTTCTTGGTTTTATATAATTTCATCAGAGCTAAATTCAAATGAATTTCAATCATTTCCTATGCTAGTTATAGGATTAGATTATATAAGACATGCATGTTTTTAAACTTTTTTCCATAGATATCTACCAAACAATATTTAATAGAATAAGGCTGTAAAGCTTTTTCCTTCCTTTTCTGGGAATTCAGTTTTTATTCTTAATCTGGGAATTTTTTGGGTGTTATTTTATGTATCATTAATGTCATCTGCTTTTTTTCTCTCCAAACAAAGCTCAAATGCTCTGTATTCTATATGCATTCACTTGAAAAAATGCTTGCTAATGCCAAGATGCTAATGAGAAAATAGGTGTTTCTGAAACTATTGAAGCCAAAAAAGGTTAACCACAGTTGAGGTATCGGTTTCTCTCCAACTAAATATTGAGTAAATAGAACTATGCTTAGTGAAAAGGGCATGCTGACCTGAACTGCAAAGAACATTTTTTATTTCCTCCCTCACTGTCAGAATGTATCACACATGTCATGAATATAAATCTGAGTAGACCTGGGTCCAAAGTCTCTTATTAATAAGATGCTTATTCACCTTCACAAGTTTGTTTCTTTGCTAACCCGGTGTAAATCAGAAGGGGAAAACCTTAGATTATACAAGAGAAATTGCTACATGTTAATCTCACTTAAATTAAGCCAGAAACTCCAGAGACTTCCTTAATTCTATTTAAATTAACGGCCTGTGCTTCAAAAACACATTTATAATACATATGTGTCTGGGGCATGGGAAGAAAAAAGAAAAGTAAGAGTTTGATGTAAACAAATGATCAAATTGAAAAAAGTAAACCTTTATAATCTTTTTAGCTCACTCTAGATTCATTTCTTCCCACTTCCCATCTTATCCTGCTAATTTGCTCTTGACTAAAACCCATAGACCCATTTCTATTAAATTAATGTTTAAAACTATCAGTTTCCAGTTTTTTCCTTCATGTTTAGATCATTTATGTAGCCTGATATTTTCCCATAAAGGTCAGTAATGTTATTACTAACATTCCTGTTAGTAATGTTACTAAGAACATTATTGTGACTAATTACCTCTCTTTATGACAGGCAATTTGACTGTCATGGAGATTATGAGAGTAAAAGTCATAATTTTGACTTCATAGCATGGAAGAATATTACTTTATATTAATAATAGTCACAACAAAGAGGCATTTACATGTTCCCTTCATAATTGTTTTTGAACTGTTGTATTTTTCAATACAGAGAAATGTTATACAGATTGAGTAATCTGTGCTATTACTTTACTACAAATGATGATGGTGATGATAACATTATTTTGCAATCTTACATTTGACCATGACCATGTAAACGTCAATGGTGCAGATGGGAGGCTGAGGCAAACGTTCTCCTTTCTCCAATAAATCAGGGATTTCTCGCGTTGGAATTCCATCATAGGGTTTTCCTCCAAAGGTCATCAGTTCCCATATAGTAACTCCTATATTGGAGAAAAAATTCTTACTTAAGCATATTAACAACATATTTTGAACAAACTGGCAATATACCACTGGTAAAAGAATACTCCTTATAGGTCAATCAAAACACCAATCAATTAAAAAAAAAAGCTCCACAAATTCCTGTATCCATTATGAGAACCCCAATGTCAAAATCTTTGTGGGGGAATTCAATTTTCTTATTATTGTCTTGGAATTTCTAATGGATAGAAGAGACAATTTACAGTGGATATCAGCGTATAGAATCTGTTTCCCATTTCTGCCTATAGGTAATACTAATGTTTGCTGATCCAAGTTATATTTCACTATACCATGTTGCAATCCATAAAACAATTCATTTACTATACATACATATGTATTCAGTAACAATAAATATGATTGCCAGTAAAATAAGATATTGACTAATTTTAAGATTAGCATCTTTACTATTAAAGGCTTCCAGAATAATTACCTTATGTTACAATAAAGAATTGTGACTCTCTCTACCTTACACAAAGAGAACAGTTGAATAAAACAGATATACTTCGTTAGCAAATATGAGAACCTGAGTGAGGAATGTTCCATATGTAATATATAGTACATGTGAAGTAGGCATCAACAAAATTGTGAAGGGGATAAAAAGTAGTTTATTCTTTAGGTAATAAAATGGCTTTCTTGAATCATTGGGACATTGATTTTCTCTGCAAAAGCAAATACACTAAATGTTAGCATGCAAAGAGCCAGTTTTGATGATAATGATGGTTCTGATTTCAGCAATAATATATACACTAAATATCATTTTTGTGATATAATGATCATATAGTTTAAAATAATATTTTCTTAAGGGTAAAGATTTTTAAGTTCAGAAATGGCTAGCTGGGCACAAAAATATTACAAAGTGAGTTTTGGTTGATGTACATATACAGTCATCTTTCAATATAAAATCCATTAATTAGAGCTATGTTTTCTTTCCTACTGCCATCTATAATGAATTATTTACTCAGGCTGAAGTCGTTTTTAGTTTATAACTGTTATCATTGACTGATAACAAAAATACAAAGCTTAAAATATAAACCTATGTTGAATTTAAAATCATTCTTTATAATAGAATATTAACTATTACCTGATTTTTTTTGGTTAATATTTACATCTTAGGATTTTAGGCATATTGTTAACATATACCTAGTGATAATTTAATTGACTGACTGTTATTACATCTTTAAGTTTGTATATTAAGGAGTAGTTCCTAAAATATATCATAAAAATTTTCTCGGAGGCGGGCTGCAACAAGTTAAGTGGATGACTGTTCATCTCTAGATAGTCATATATATATATATATTTTATATTTTAGAATATTTTATATTTAGAATATTTTATATTTTAGAATTTTTTATATTTTAGAATGATATATTTTATATTTTAGACAGGGTCTCAATCTGTCACCCAGAATGGAGTGAAGAGGCATGATCACAGCTCACTACACCCTCAACCTCCCCAGGCTCACATGATCTTTTCACCTCAGCTTCTTGAGTAGCTGGGACTACAGACATGGGCCACCATGCCTGGCTGATTTTTGTAATTTTTAGTAGATAAAGGGTTTCAGCATGTTGCCCAGGCTGGTCTCAAGCTCCTGGGTTTGAGCCATCTGCCCACGTCGGCCTCCCTAAATGCTAGGATTACAAGCATGAGACATCATGCTGGGCCTAGAATATATATTTAAGGAGAACATTTTGTTAACTTAGATAGGCAGTTATAAAAGATAGAGTAGATACTCTCACACCTCTATCAGAACTCCCAACATAAGCAAGATACAAAGCAACTGTAAATCAAAATAATAGAAAATATAAAAAACAGAAACATATAAATACAAAAACAAAAGTCAAAATATAAAAAACTCTACTTCTGATAATAATCCAATTATATGCTTGTAAAGGTGATGACAAGATAGGGTTAGAAAAGGATGGTTTCATGCAAAAGAACAATATCAGGAAAGCTAAAATAAAACAATCTCAAATTTTACTTGCAATTCCTTTATCTTAAGATGTATATCACAGCCGATGCTTATTTTTGTAAAAATAAAAATTCACCTAGTGAGAATTTTCCATAAAGGTGCACTGTAAACAAGGTTATGCAACTTCCTCTGCCTTTGACGCCTTTTGCAATCAACTATGATATATCATAAAAATTTTTAAGTGTCTTATGCATATGGGTTGATGACCTGGGCTGTGTTTCAAAACAGAGTACTACCTATCTTTTTATTTATTTTTGATGAACAGTTCCTGGGATTTTGCAACTCAACATGAAGAAAAATGTTACAGCCTGAGTAACAAGATTTTTCCCAAAAGACAAATTTTACTATTAAAAATATGACTGTTCTGCCAACTTTTCATATATTTTGAGCTAATTTAAATTTGCTTTCAGGAGATTGCCACATTTGATTCAGTGAATTGTAAGTAGAAAAAGAAGAAAAAGAAAAAAAGTATATACATATATAAAATATACTATATGATATATATAATATATAAATCTGACATAATATATATTCTATAAACCTGTCTCTATCATGTAACATATAAATGCTAATCTACATGTTAATCTGTATCATATAATATATAAATTTATCATAGAATACATGTAATAGATGTTTTTCTATACACTTCTTACAATAGTTTAGGAAGTAAGTTTTGTCAAGCATTGACAAGAGTTGTAAGTTCGAAGTGATTGAATGGTTTATATCTTTTTTTCCGACAATGCAAAAAAAGGTAAAACTTTTTTTAAGCTTAAGTTTGAGTAAAATAAATTGTACCATGCGTTTAAATCTCACCACCACCCTTTTATTTAAGTGGGTGTTATGCTTTTTTATTTGTAAGAAAGACCAATTTTATATGATATGTTTAAACTTAGAACCATATTGACTCCTTCTTGGTAATACTGGACTTACATTTAAGTAGCCAGACAGATGCTCAATAGCTCATCTTAACAATTAAGTTAAGCACAATAAAATAAATGTTCTAATTATAGATATCACTCTTTTCCAGTTCATATTATTCACTCTGCAACATTTCTGTTACTCCACAAGTAGTTTGTAAATTAAAATTAATGTTGTAATTAGCAGTCTTCTCTTTTTACCATGTTCATTGCTCTAACTTACTGCTGTCAGTAATTTTTCTTAGTTATGACAATAATCTGTTTTCTACTATAGACCATAAAAATTCTCATATGTAAAAAACACACAAAAAGTTAGTTTTGTTTTTGTTTGAATATTTACTATATTCAGAGTTATGTTTTTGAAAGTTGCTTAAAATTAACGCCATGAAATTCTATGAAATTGTCCCTAAACCAAAATTGGCTGAATATTTTTCCTGTCAAAATGATCAAGCCAGTTGCTATCAAACCAAAGCTTATGGAAAACATCTTAGCAGAGATATTAGTATATTACATTGTAATAAACTAGAAAAAAGCAGAAAAAGGCAGATAGGAATGCTATTTAGAATATTTTGTTGTTCTTCAATGAGAACACATGGACACAGGGAGGGGAACCTCACACACAGGGGCCTGTCGGGGGATGGGAGGCAAGGGGAGGGAGAGCATTAGGACAAATACCTAATGTATGGGGGGCGTAAAACCTAGATGACGGGTTGATGGGTGCGGTAAACCACCATGCCACATGTATACCTATGCAACAAACCTGCAGGTTCTGCATGTGTATCTCATAACTTAAAGTAAAATCAAATAAAAGAGAATATTTTGTTGTTCTTTTTTTCATTGAGAAAGCAAAGAGTTAACTCCTTTAGGAAATTAGGCTTATAAATAGGTATTTATAACACAACAAAATAATTTAGCTTAAGATATTTCACATGAATTTAACATATGTATTTTTGCTTTACAAGCTTTAATTCGCAAAGAAGATTTATTTACCATAGCTCCAAACGTCACTCTGATGGGTGAATTTCCTGTAATGTATACACTCCAGAGCCATCCATTTAATTGGCATCTATAGAGAAGTAAGAAGTGAAAGTTTTAAAATTACATTAAAAATTCATTTCTATATATATTTCATAAATGTGAATCTCTGGGCTGGACTTAATCATATTTTTTAAATTGTATGTGTGTAGATATAACTATAAATATATGTTAATTTATAAAATACATAAAGTGAAATAATCTAAAGACATACTATACTTATTCATTTTTTATTTTATTTATTTATTTTTTGAGACAGGGTCTCACTCTGTCACCCAGGGTGGAGTGCAATGGCACAATCTCAGCTCACTGCAATCTCTGCCTACCAGGCTCAAGTGATCCTCCCACCTTAGCCTTTGAGTAGCCGGGACCACAGGGGTGTGCCACAATGCCTGGCTAATTTTTGCATTTTTAGAGATGGGGTTTCACCATGTTGCCTAGGCTGACCTAGAACTCCTGAGCTCAAGTGATCTGCCTGCTTTGACCTCCCAAAATGCTGGGATTACAGGCATGAGCCACCATGCTTGGTCATACTTATTTATTTATTTTAAAAAGCTTTATAAACAATTAAAGGTAAAAATAATTAAGTAGGGATAACTTTCTATAGCTCTTAATTAACTTTCAGTAATTAAGTTGCTAGTAAATATTATGATTTACAGTGTCAAATCTAAACATCTAATACACATGCTTCTAAAAATGTGTTTATAGTTTTTTCTCAAAAAATGAGATTTGTTATATTTTCAGTTATCCCTTTTCACCCTCAGACACATTTTGGGCCACCAGTACAATGGACTCTTTCTATACTTGCCCCCTCCCTTCTCCTCTCGTATAATTTGGCCAATAAAAGGCCTAAAATCGTGAATTCCAAAGTTAGGCTTGCTTTATTTTCCAGCTTCAAATGACCTCTCTCATCTTGGTTAGCCAGTATTGAAAATATGTACCATTTTCAAAATAGGAACTATATAAAATAATGTGAGGGGATCAGCACAAATCTATCATCACTACAAGAAAAACAACTCAACCCACATATCCTGCTGATGATGGGCCAGCAGAATGAGTTTCAACTATGAAGGGCAGCATTATATAGCTGGGAATATAATTAGATTCTATGGAATAAAGATAAACACTTCTACTGTGCAGTTGAAAAGCTTAAAACTAAATAGGCCTTTGAAATCACGAGGTTGGCTGCTCACCAAGGTGACACCAAGGTAACTCTATGACAGAATCATGGTATTCAGTGAAAGGGAACAGAAGACACATTGAAAGTAATTTCCCTATGGGCAAGGAGTTAGCAGACTTTATGGACTACGGACATTGTGTTAAAGAAGTAAGTTTAAATCACAGGTAGCTTGATAAAGACTTAATGGTTACCAAGCATTTAAAGCAGTAATGAATCTTGCTTTAGACAAATCTTATGTCTCAAATCTTATGTTCTCAAGACAAGTGAAGCCATGTGATTTATAGACTTCAACTTCTGTGCAGTCTTATAGTGAATTTCAAAGCTGTGGTCTCAGACTACTGCAGTTTGGTAGCAAACAGGCAAAATAGGGTAGTTTAAAAAATTTTTGTGTTATTTTGCCTTGTGATGAAGTTAAGCATTTGGAAACCTAACATTGCAAAATATTTATAATATACATTTGGATGGCCCATGATAAATAAAGCATATAATAAATATATTTACATGACATGAGAATAACTGAGTTTCTTTTGTTAGTGTAAGCTTATAGGTCACCATAGGCTAAGATTGCATTTGCTTATTTCATTTGGGCTTCCTGACCTTAGGTTTCACCAGGTGAAGCTAGAGGGACCTCCATATGAAGTCTAGTCCTAATAGTTTGGCCAAGAAAGGCAAGCTAAAGAGAAGGTTAATGAGGAAATACAAGACATGGTACTAAGGCACGGATTGAGATCACAGAGTGGGTGAAAGAGTCAGGAATGCTGTTGTCAGGCAGAGGCTGAGACTAGAGGGTCAGAAAAGTTGGACGAAGGCAGTGGCTCTGTTCAGGGTGGTTTGTACTACCTAAACTTTTCTCTAGTCTATAAGAGAGAAGCTATGTTATCTGTCAGAGTTAGTGCTATGGTGTTTAGATCAATGGGACAATTTTTACAGCCATGTGTTAAAGTTTAATTTCTAGAAGCCCTAAGGATCTACCCCTTTCCCACCACTGGACCTAACATGAAGGTCACCTGGGTACAGACATACATCACCTTATTTTAGCTACTTTTGAGAAATAGAAGCTGGTAATATATGGTATATATATGTGTACATGAAATATATACACACACACATACATACCCTGAGCAGGAGAAAAGGCAAATGGTAGAACCAAGGTTTTATAATCTCCTAAGCTTCAGGCTTATTGATTTCTTGTATACAATATAAGGAGATAAAAGGATATTATACTACATTTTCAAGCAATATTGCTCTCAAAAAGATATCCACCTTTCCTCCATCAGCATTGTATTCTTTTTCATCTCCTTCCAAGAGTCTGGCTAGTCCAAAATCTGTGATTTTCACATGGTTTGGAGATTTCACTAAGACATTACGGGCCGCCAAATCCCGATGAACGAGCCGTCTTTCTTCCAGGTACATCATTCCCTGAAAAACATCAAGTTCCTTAATGATAGTCAGTTAATGCCTAGGTTTTTCCTTTGTTTCTAAAAAGAGTTCTCTTAGCCTTCAGTTGGAAGTGCCTAATTTTTTAAGTGAAGCCAGAATCCTAGAATATTTTCAAAATTAGAGAAAACCTGATTTTGGGGGAGAGCAAACCACAAACAGCTTTTGGTCTTTTCTCCCTAAAGTCCTATGAGACAAATGAATTACTTTCACATGAGCTAAATGTTAGATCATTATTTTTCCAAGCGACTTGATATCCTTTTGCAAACTCTTTCTTTAGTGAGGTGTGCAGGTGTTGTAGCAGATAAGCTAATATATGCTTGGATTGACCCACATATTTGTAGTCATTCCTTCTCAATAACTTCTGCTTCATGTCATCTCCCCCTACACATCCAAACAAATACCTCTATCCATAATTTTTAGCAATATTTCATTTGAGGTTTAATGGTGCCAAAATCGCCATTATAGACTCTATGGAGGCTGAAGAATTATACTATGATATTATACTAAGAATTATACTATTCTTATTAATCATTCACAGAATGAAGTATATACCCTAGAAGTCTTAAAAACCTGTAAGTTTTAAGAAGGCTTCTATGGTATCAGTAGTCACTATGAGAATCCATAGTGAAATTACATAGTTTGTAATGACACTGAAATTAGCCCTTAATATTTTGCCTTTATAAAACATACAGGGAAATTAAAAATAAAATTTGTTGCTGTTCAGCAGCAAGAGACATAGCTGGCTCTCCTCACAATACATCCACATGTAACAATATGTAACATATGTTATGTATTAATATCTATACAAATTCAGAAAAAATAATCCAGAGGAGTGACAATTACTTTATTAATTATACTTCAGTACTAGGTAAACTAAGAGTTGCTAAACATTATGTTTAACAAAATAACTTATGTAAAACTAAGGAAATAAACCTGAGGCCAAGAATAGAGTGAATATATTTTTGTTGAAGAGTTAGGGGAAATTCTATATTTGATTACTTTAGTGGTACAATGGTCATCATTTAAAAATAGATTAGAATTATTATGAAATGGTTGAACCATACTCTCATGCCAATTGCAAATCAATGCTGTTGGCAGTTAACATTACAACTGCAGGATTTTGAAGGATTAATGGTTTCTGATACTAAAACAAAAGCTGTGGAAAACAGACACATAAATCACACAGGTCAAAAAATTATGAACCGTATACCTGGTGTAGTGTAAAGAGAAGATTACTTCAAACAGCATCATGAGCCAACCCCATATAAATGCACATTAAACACAATCAGTGGAGATACTGCCTGATATGGTCTAATCAGTCAACAGTTGGGTGACACTGTGCGGATGAGTGTTTTCTGAAATCAACTTACAACCGAGATTTATGGGACTTTTGCCTGCCCTCCTAAACAGTGCTTTGTATTTGAGTACATTAAATTAGAAATTCCTAGAATAAAGTACATCTGAGAACATATAGCCCTTATATGACTTAAAGGATCAAAAAAAATAAACAAATAAATGCATTGCCTTGGAGATAAAATATTTTCACATCTTCCCAAATAATTCTATCCCTTTAAGAAATGTTCATGAAACATTCATTATTCTCTTTCTTATCACCTTCATATCAGAACATGGAAAATATGTTGGCAACAGGTTAACGCATACTATGTGCTGGACTATTTGCCAGACACCAAGAGGACAAAAAAGATTCAGATAAGGTCTGTACATGAAAGGAGAACAGAAGCTAATTAATAAAGTGGGCAGATAGGGAATAAAAACTTGAACGGACTGATGTGATACATGCAAGGCATTTAAAGAGAACTCTATTCTGAGGCCCTTATGTAGTATAGCCTAGCAAGTATGCATGGGAGGAGACACTTCAAAGCGGTACCAAGGCCTAAGTAAGGGTTGAATGATGTCTCCCAATTGGGCAGAGTGAGAGTAAAACTGCAGGCGAACAGAACAAGCACGGGGCAGCAGTACCATGGCGTACGTGGACAAAGACATGCAATTCTGTATTTTTAAAGCATACTGTATTAGGGAGGGACAGTGGTGAGAAGTGAAACTGAAAACAAAAGAAGAGGCAGGGTCCAAGAACCGTCTCTTATATGTCATGGTAAAGAACTTAGACTTTTATATTTCATGCAGTATACAATTAGGTGATGTGGAAGTTGTTTTAAAAAGGGGAGCGAAGCCGGGCGCGATGGCTCACGCCTGTAATCCCAGCACTTTGGGAGGCCAAGGCGGGTGGATCACGAGGTCAGGAGTTTGAGACCATCCTGGTTATCATGGTGAAACCCTGTCTCTACTAAAAATACAGAAAATTAGCCAGGCGTGGTGGCGGGTGCCTGTAGTCCCAGCTGCTGAGGAGGTTGAGGCAGGAGAATGGCGTGAACCCGGGAGGCAGAGCTTGCAGTGAGCCGAGATCGACTGTCTCAGAAAAAAACAAAGCGGGTGCGGTGGGGCATGAGATTGTTGGACTCTTTGAAACACCACTCTGGTGTTAATACAGAGAATGGATTGGACATCTGTGTAGCTGAAGGCAGGAGCCACTGCCACAATATAGAAGCAAGGTGATGGGAGTGTAAAATAAAGGTTGCAAATTTGCAGTCTATGGACTACATACATCCATTTTTCAGATTTTTTTTTTCTTTAGTCCCCACACTGGGTGTGGGTCAGTCATTCTCTTTAGCTGAGACCAACTGTACCCCAATAAGGGTAATCCCAACCCATTTTCCAAGATCCCACTGCTCACTATTTCTTCCCAGGAATTCTGCTTCCATCACTTACAACACTCGTCTGCTCCTATGTGTAAGACTATCTGAACCTTCAATTAAACTAGGCCAGAAGGAATACTATAAAGAGGATAATATCAAGGAATATTTATAAAATTAAGTAATCATCCTTAGTATTTGTTTGAATGATGAAGAAAGAGAATACATTGAGAACAATTTTGTTTTTAGACTTTTATCATTTAGGTGGATAATGATCCCTTGAACCAAATATCGTTCTAATAAAAATATCATTTTTATATTTCTTAAACTTATGCAGGAAGAGTGATACGTACTTTGCCAATAGGGAACTAAGGCACATTCACCAAAAAATTTCAAACTGTGCTATGATCTGAATGGTTTTATGTCCTTCCTCAAATTCGTATGTTGAAATTTTAGCCCCCAAAGTGATGGTGTTAGGAGGTGGGGACTTTGAAAAGTGATTAGGTCATGAGAGTAGAACCTCATGAATGATATTAGCAAACTTATAAAAGAGACCTTAGAGAGATCTGTTGCTTCTTCAGCCATGTGAGGTTACAGGAGCTATGAACAATCAGGAATCAGATCCTTAGCTAGACACTAAATTTTCTGGCACCATTATCTGGGATTTCCCAGTCTCCAAAACTATGAGAAATGAATTTCTGTTTATGTTATTTTGTTATAGCAGCCTGCACAGACTGACACTCTAATGACATACTCTACAATACAAGAAAAACTTCAGAAACTCCAAGTTCTTTGAAATTCTACACACAAAGCTCAGCAAAGAATAGACTATTCTGAAGCTAAATACTGTTTGTCCAGAAAAGGTACTTTCTTCAAAATAATGAGGAATCAATTTTAAAAAACTAGGTGACAATGTCTAGACAGTTTCCCTCACCCACCTGACTGTCACTAAAAGCAATAAGAACGTAAGTATCTATATCATTACCAAACCATCAAAATACATGTTTATGGTTGCTTTGTAACTATGAAACATCAATATACAGGTGCATGCTTTCAAATCATTACTTACTAAAGCCACCTTAGTCCTACTTTCACACCTTGAGAGTGTTGAATCATCTATGGATTGCTCAAAACAGTTTTCTCTACATCACAGTCATTAAATAGGATTTTCTTTCTGGAAGATCTCATTTGAGTCACGCTCTGCTAGATTCCTTCAAAATGAAATCACTCTTCAAATTACAGTGTCATGCATCTAAGGTGGCAGACAATTATTAGAAATAACAGTGACAAAAACAAACTGGATGAAGTCTCTGAAGTTTCAAGATGAACAAATAAGGGTCATTCATTATTATGCTGTGTTTTGTGGGTAAAGAAACCTTATACTCTGCGCTGTAGCAGTTCTCATATCCATGCCAGGCCAGCTTGGGTAAAGTAAATTATGAGAAGATAATACTGACGGCAACCACAGTTGACATTGACCCAGTACTTAGAACACAGCAGTCATTAAAGTAAATGTTGCCACATTGGTTGGTTAACTTAATCCTATAAGATGCGTACTGTTGTCATATTTTACATATGAGAAAACTAAGGCTAAGTGAGGTCAAGTTACTTGCTCCAAGTTATCTAATCAGGGATCCCCAAGCCCTGGGCCATGGAGCAGCACCAGTCTGTGGCCTGTTAAAAACTGGGCTGCACAGAAGGAGGTGAGTGGCAGGCGAGCCAGCATTACTGCCAGAGCTCTGCCTCCTGTCAGATTAGCGGTGGCGGCATTCGATTCTCATAGGAGGCTGAACCCAATTGTGAACTGTGCATGCGAGGGATCTACATTGTGAACTCCTTATGAGAATCTAACTAATGCCTGATGATTTCAGGTGGAACAGTTTCATCCTGAAACTATGTCCCCTGCCGGGTCCCCACAAAAACAGTCCCTGGTGCCAAAAAGTTTGGGGACTGCTGATCTAGCTAATGCATGGTAGAAGTTGGATTGGATCCCTTGCTGTGTGGACTCTACAGTCTACATTTTTAAGCCTATCTTCTCTCTTAATGGGTCACAGGGTTATGTGGGCATGGATAAATTAATGAACATAGGGGTCATACAGATTTTTGTTTTTGTTTTTGTTTTTGAAATAAGGTCTAGCTCTGTCATCCAGGCTGGAGTGCAGTGGCATGATCAGGGCTCACTGCAGCCTCAACCTCCTGGCCTCAAGCAATCCTCCTGCCTCAGACTTCCAAAGCGTTGGGATTACCGGCATGAGTCTCTGCATCCAG